TGATTTTGTAGATAGTAAAATCTTCATGCACCCCCAAAACTTCCAAAGCCCGTACTGAAGCCATTTTGATGTGAACAGGAGAGCGGTCGATATCAAACTAAATATTTTTTGAAATGTAGCTACGCTTGAAGACTTACGATGTCGAAATTCCACTGGCAAAAGAATTCGACTGGCGATGGAGCGCCAGTGACGTCATGGGCGCCGTATTTGGACAGTGTATCGATGTACTTCGTTTCTAAGCGGTAAAGCAAAGCCTCGTCCTGTGCAATTTTCCACACGTCACCATTCGTTTGGTCGTTGGCAAGCGAAACAATGGCCGAGGCGCATTCGTGATGGAATTCCAAGGGTGACGGATGAAAATTAAAGTTCTGAATGGATGCCAGTGAACGACGTAAATCATCCCACTTTAGAGCTCTCAATAAAGTAATTCCTTTTTTTGGGAATTCTCGCGCGACTATCAGAATTCGCATCGGTACTTGTAAAACGGTCGATTTGAATGACAATGACCCCGTTAACAGTTATGCGTTTCACCAATAAGCCATTGCCGAAATCTTTCGTGAACGAGGATTTGTTGTGACAACGATCGCCGTCAACAGAAACAGGTATGTTGTACGAATCATCACGCACAAAACTGTGAATCTGCAAAAATTCCGCGATTGAAAGTGACAAAGAGTTCTTGTAACAACGAAAGCCGATGATTTGAATTCCTCCAGAATCTAAAAACTTTAAATGGAACGATCCAGAAGAGTATTTCCGTTGCGCTGGAGTAAAGTTAATTCTGAAAGGTCAAAATCCATTCTGAAAGCGCAGTGCCGAAACACTAACTGTCGACAGCAACTATCTTGTGGAGAATTCGTAATAGCTGAAGAAAACGTGGTCATCGCCAGTTTGGATTATCGATTGTCAAATGAGAGAGAACGAGACAGAATCTAGGTCAGCGACAGTTTGGATTACCCATTGTCAAATGAGAGAGAATGTGGGAGAGCGCCAGTTTGGATTAGCTAAGGAACAAAGAATCAAGGTCAGCGCCAGTTTGGATTACTCATTGTCAAATGAGAGAGAATAAGACAGGATGCGGGTCAGCGCCAGTTTGGATTAGCTAAGGAACAAAGAATCTAGGTCAGCGCCAGTTTGGATTACTCATTGTCAAATGAGAGAGAATGTGGGTCAGCGCCAGTTTGATTTCTGAAAACGACGTGGTCTTTCTTAGCTGGCTGGAATAGGAATTCATTCGCAATTCTGAAAGCCATGGATCAGTACAAAGGTTGTTTATTAGGCGCTTTGATTGGAGAATGCATCGGAACACCCCTGAGACGCCCTACCTCCTGCCACATGAACTTGGCAGGAGTGCGGAGCAAGGTCTCGACTTACTGGGAGAAATTCTTAATAACGCACGCTTACGCCAGGTCTCTACTGGATACCGGCTTCTTTTCTTTGGAGAATGCCGCACGACAACGTAGCCAAACCTTTTACCACAACTACACTAAACGCCAAGCTTTTGGTGAACTGACCACCATTATTGCCAGTTGGAAACATTCTCCCCAAAAGACTGGACCGCTGCGGCTACGACAGTCCGTAACCGGGGCACAGAGTGTAACGCTGCCACTTGGATAACAGCGTTTCCCTTGTACTTCTACAATCGTACGGAGCAGATGAGTTTCTCTGTAGACCGTGTAGCCCGACTCACCCACTCTTCCAATGATGCCGCCGCTGGGGCACAGTTGCAGGCCTACGCCGTCAGTCTGGTTCTAAAGAATAAGAAGATGAAGGAGCTTGAGTTTCTCTCCGCACTTGTTGAATACAGCAATAAATCTCTCCCCGATTCTGTACGTCAGAAATTTTATGCACGTATGATGATGGTGCTGGACTAGGCGCAACGCGCTGAACCGAATGAGAAATTGTTCAAAGCCATTGGCAATGGCACCAGCCCTTTGGACGCAGTTCCCGTTGCCATTTACTGTGCTGCTATTGGTCGCCGCAGCGATTGCCCTTTTGAAGCCACCCTTCATGCGGCAATGTTGACCGTAGGATGCACCGATGCCATTGGGACCATGGCTTGTGCCGTTGCAGGAGCCTGGTCCGGATTCTCAGGTACCTGACGAAATGGTGCGCATCTGGGACGGCCAGGAGCAGGTGTATACCATAGCCGAAGAACTGTACAAGTACGTTTCCACACTGCACGACCCCAACGGACCACTCAGTACTTTTGAAAATTGGCCACACCTCCTGCCTTCTGCCGGCGCCATGGCGAAGATCGGACTGTACTACACCGGATCTGATGATACAGTTGAATGTCATTTCTGTCGGTTTACAATGAGCAACTGGACACCGGGAGATCCATACAATGACCATCAGAAATTTAACCGAAATTGTATTTTTGTCGAAGATTGTACTGCTACTCCTGCGTATGTTCGTGCGGTCTGATTTGTTTTACTTTGTTCGTTGTCATTCGGTGAAAACAAAATAAAAGAGGGTGGGGAAAAATAAACAAAAGAAAGGGGTAAAGTACGGTTCGGCCGGTCTCGGTTCGGTTCTGGGCGGTTCGGTTCTGGGCGGTTCGGTTCTGATCGGTTCGGTTCCGATCAGAGAAGGGGGCGTGTCTGACCAATTACAGAAGGGTGGAGTCAGCCAATCAGAGAAGCAGCCAGACTGCTGCACTTTTTTTGAAAATGCTGCTATCCCTATTGCCTTACTACTGACAAAAACAAAGAGATTAATGCCGTGCTTACTATGGCCGAGCGAAAATACCGCTTCGGAGAAGAGACACCGGCACAATTTTACGATATCACGATGAACAATAAACCACGAGTCCGAAACATCGCCGACGAGATAGCACTTCACTACTTGAAGGAGAACATCCTCGAACCCAGACTACGGGAAGCCCTGAAACAGCCCGACGGACATTAGGATTCTAGGTGATATTGCAAACGATCGGGCGACGACGTCGATCCGTGCGACATGGCATCGCGGCCCAGTTTCGGATACCAGCCCGAGATGGCACCTCCCGGCTATCCCGGAGGAGAGCTGCCCAACCCGGTCCAACCGGTGTGTGCTGGAATTTTTCGGACAACTGGTTAGCGCGATATATCAGCTGGCCGTTATGGCGCAGCTTCCCGACATAACGGTTCAAAAACCCGTCAATACGGGAAAACAGTTTGCCTTGACCGGATTACAGCCCGGCCCGGCACAGCGGCCAGCTGTTGGGGAACAGTGATCGGCCGCGGTTGCGGAACAACTCGACGATGTAGCCCGCCGACCCGAACGGACAGTGCGGCAACCGGAAAACGTACCACGCCGACTAGCACAGACGCTGCGGCAACCACTTCCAATGCAAATGCGGGATCGGTCACAGGATCAACAGGATCGATAGGAAAGCTGTCGCAACCGGATAACGACAGTCATAGCCACGTCGACCGATATCAAGGAAGACCGTCGCCGCCGATATAGGCGGGCCCGACCTTGGCAAGACGTAGGGGAATTGCAGTCGAAGGGAGTGACCAAAGAGCGATCGCGCCGCCGACACGACCTGACTAGCCATAAAAGGGAGGTGAGGAGAGAGAAGAGGTGTAGAGCAGAAAGCGTGTCGTGGGACCATGACCGCGGGCACGTTAGGCGTGCTGTTCGTCGTAACAATTGGTGGGACGGCCGACCCGACGCCGATGTAGAGCACCGGCTCGGTCGGAAGGATGAGGGAAGCGAGCGGGCCGGCATTGACAGGAATCGGCAAAACATCATCAAATCGCAGATGGTCGGGCGAGCGCTGCTGCTGCTGACTACCAGTCGGACATGGATTTTTTTATGTTTGATAGTGACATGCTGAAAGCGGACGGATCAACCCGCTTCCCCAGTTGCACCGACAACAAGAAGGCATCGATACCGACGAGGATGCTGAATCCATATTCGAGGTGAGCGGGGCTTTCAGCGATAATGCGGCGGACTGGGACCAGGAACCAACGGCGGCCGAAAAGGAGGAAGGCTGGCCGTAGAAGTTTGGTTGACCAAGTTCTTGACAAAATTCGGCAGTAGGAAGAAGGACAAGAACGCCTTGGCGGAGGCCACAGACCTTTCGTTGAATGCACTTCAGGGCGTACATACACTCAGTGCAAGCCGTCCGCTCGCGACTTGATCCATGCACAACCTTCTGTCCCAGTTGTAAAAGAACCTTCCCAAGAATGCGCTTTTACGAATTCCAGCGAGAAAAGTCAAAGTCGGCTTACGGCAACAGCTCAAATCTAGTAGAAAATGTAGCTCTAGATGGCCGTGCCCTTTACGCATTACTGTGGCGAATTAGCTGCGACCATAGTGCGGCAAAATAGCAAAAGGCTGTTTGAACGCAGTGTGCGGCAAATTAGCAAATGGCTATTTTGCCTACCGTACTGCGGCAAAATAGCTAAAGGCTATTTTAACGCAGTGTGCGGCAAAATAGCAAAGGCTATTATGACACACTGTAGAAAACTGCGGCAAAATAGCCTTAGCCTTCTATGTGGATATGTCTCATATTATGGTCGCTTTAAGTATGCGGTTTCATAATTCGGTCATCGGTCACTTACACCACCCCCCCAAACGGTGCGCTACATGAATAAAGGTTTTACTTTGAAAACTATTTGTTTCTGATATTTTTGTTTGTCCGAAAATTCTGACAGCAGAACTTGACCGAAATATGAAACCGTATACTAGTGAGTATGCGGTATCCGCCGTAAACCGTAAAACGGGCACCGGTTTTAATCAAAAGTACAGAGTTAGACAGAGCGTGTGTCTAACGAATTTCTGTCTGCTCCCTTGATTAAATGCGTTTTACGGCGCCCGGTTGCTTCCCCAGGCGGACATCGCAGGCTCACTACTTAAAGTGACCGAAATTTGAGATACATCCAAGTACACTAATAAATAACTTGCAAAACCATAAGTATTCGTGTTTCCTAGCAAAAAAATCTACCAAATGTCGAGGCAATACAAAATCCTAACCAAATGTGTGCGAGTCGTCTATCTTAACGGATACTCACGTAAATAGCATTCCAGCGAAACATTCCTGGTCCTGTGCGAATTCACTGAGCAATTTCTCCCAAATTTATCGCATCTCGGGACAAATGCGCTTCATAAATATCCCAGAACTGTGCCTCAATATCTCCGGGATCCAGAAGCTTAATCCTCGCTTGCGGAATAGATGCCTCCATCCAGCTTGTACAAAAGAATAAACAATCATACATCATCAGTTCACCGCAGAACGGTGTCAAATTGTCGAAGGCCACCGTGATGGGCCGGATCCACGCCCCGACTACCAGACTGTGCTGTGCCGTTGTATACAGTTCCCAATCGATACCCACATCGTGTAAGATGAGCTGTTTAATGTGGACATGTCGCAGCATCCAGCCAAGCACCGTCAAGACATTCTCCACGGCTTCGCTCATCACGTGCTCTACAATCAGCCGTTGCGTCTCACTGCTGACGCACTTGGATACACCATTTACAGCGCCGCACACTCTCTTCGTTTCCGGTGGGACCAGGGGGTTCGTCGCAAAGGAAATACGAACGGTTTTACCGCTGCCCGGGCCAGTCAAGATGCTATTCCACAAAGAACACACGCGGCGTAGTTTCTCGCGGCTGATGGTGTCCAGTGAGTCGAAGGTCTCGCGCAAGAGATGCATTGCCGTGGGAATCACGCCGCCCGTATGCGGCTGTGCATCGTCATCTCCGGGATGTTGCCGCTTCTTCCCGATGTCCGAGGACGGCAGGCCTAAGTCGGCTCGTTTTTCGGCCTCTGATTTACGAATGGCTTCGCGAATCGCTTCGTAATTGTTTTTCTGCGGAAAATTAGAAAAATAAACGTTGGTAAAGAAATAAGCGGGCGAGAAAAGTTAAAAAGAAAATAAAAAAATCAAATTTAAAAAAATTAAGCAGCGAGTGCTCTAAGAAAACGCAAAAACGAAACCTGCGAAAACCGTTCAGTGCTAGCAATTATGAAGGTAAATTAAGAAGGTCAATTCGTCTAGCAATTATGAAAGGAAATGCCGCAGCTGTTTTGGGCATTTTGCCAGGAAAAATAAATTTGCTGGCGGCAAAGCTTTTGCCTGTTTCTTTCAGTCTTTACGTGTTACGTGTACTGTAGTTTTGTTAACCCATCGTGAATCTACGAAACCATATTACCAATAAAAATTAAATTCATTTTTACGTAATTTGTACGGATTCATCTTAAGTTACCCTCAAGATATTGGCTGTGCTTATGCATGTTTATATATATATGTACGAGTACGGCTGATACTCTCATATCCTGAATGTATCCCATGTGTGTCGCATGTTTCGCAGATCCCTGTTTTTAAAGGAGGCGCTGCTTCGCGGCAAGGCACAGTAAATATTATTAAAAAAGAAAGGGGAAAGAAAAGGGCTGAGTGACTGCCATCGCTCCACCTTTGCACTTCGTAAAGTAGCTCACTGCATTTTCTCCTCAAAACATTATTTGCACACCACTTATTCGCAGATGCGGTACGTACCACTATCTCCGTCAATGGCTGCTCATCACTTCGCTGGAAAAACATCAAGCTCCGGCCGGTAATCGACACAACATGCACGCGCTGTGTCTTCTGGATGATTAGCCCATAGCGATCGACGAACCCGGGTGGCACGGTCGACTCATGATCCTTCGGCAGCCGGCAGGCAGGGTGTAAAAGGTGGCAGTGGCACCTGCCACTGGCAGTTGCCACCGGCAATGGCACGTGCCATTTTGCGACTGGCAAGGGGTAAAACATGGCAATTTTCGAAAACGCAGAAATAATCAACTAGAAATCAATCTGCCATTAAAAAAAGATTTATATAGCAAAATCAATTTCTTTAAAATTGATCTTTCTACACTCAGCGGCCAGCTTACGACCTCTATCGCGCCTACCAACGCAACGAGCGCTACAATGCCGCAAAATAAATTTGTGGGTAGCGCACACATGTCTTAAATTTTTGAATTTCTTACATTTTTTATGTTTTCTTATGTTTGTTAGGTGTTTTATTTTTTTATGTTTTATTAGGTTTCATGTTTTCTTGTGTTTTTGGTTTTCCGTACTCTGTAACACGGTCGGTCGGTTTTCTGTAATTTTTAATTTTAAACGGTCGTCTTCTTGGTTTCTTTGATTTTATTTGGTTCTCTCAGACGGAAAAGCAAACTGTAGTTCGACAAAACAATTTTTCGAACACATCGGGCAACAAAATTGTGGAAACGCAAATAGCGGCGAATTGTCGGTCAGTATTCTGTCGGTCTGCGGGTTGGGTTATTCATTGATATGTCGTCGTACAAAAAGTCGGGAGGCAATACAGAATCAAACGGCCCGCGCTCAGACTCTGAATCTGACTGCTCAAAGTCTTACTCTGACTGTCCAAAGTCAGATTCTGACAACTCAAACTCTGGCTCTTAAAGTATGGCTCTGACCGCAGCACTCGAACCACTAAAACTTGACCACCAATAAAATAGATTCTAAGGTTTCTTCGGTTTACAGTGTGTTTCTTACGTTCTTAAGTTTCTTAGGTTGTTGTGTACTGCACCTTTAATAAGTATTGTAGCCGTAGAATCATGTTCTACAGATTGTCATTGGTAACAACTCAACCGGAAACAGATGTACCGCCTATCTCAGTAGAATTGTGAATCCATGTTATCGGTTGTGAAGAATTCTGAGATGTTCTGACTTTTCTGGATGTGAAATCAGTAGACGTGCTCACGCTGCCTCGACCGGCAGACGGTTGACTTTTCCACATGTTCTTGCTCTTGCCCTTGCCCTTGCACTTGCTCTGATTTTGATTAAACTGATGATGATGTTCCTGAATTCGCGCGTTACGTAAGATTGTGATTTACTTAAGATCTGGGTAATTACCGACGAACCATCGAACCTCGTTTTATCGTGGTACGGGTGGATTAACCCAACCCACTAGGGGCAGCTTAGAAGTTGCCATTGCAGTATCATGATACGAGTACAAACTATGTACCAAAACGAAACAGCATTTATAACAGAAACACTTCTTCTATGCTGTCTTGATCGGGGATCGTTAGGTTGTTAGGTCATCCTTAAGTTGTTAGGTCATTCTTAGGTTTCTTAGGTTTAGAATAAATTTCTTAGGTTCTTCGGTCGTATTGTAATTCTTTGGTTATACCAACGTGACTAAGGTCACTAACGTTATTTTAGTTTTCTTAGGATTTCAAAAAACATCCCGACAATCCGAAAAATAACCCAAGAATCACGTAAGTAACCTAAGAGACCAAGAAATCCTAAGAAACCAAAGAATAGCTCAAGAAACTTAAGAATAACCTAAGAAGCCTAAGAAGCCCAAGAAAATTAAGATACTTAATACTAACCTAAGAAACTTAAGAATAACCTAAAAAACCTAAGAAGCCTAAGAATAACCTAAGAAAACTGAAAGACCTAAGAATAACCTAAGAAACCAAAGAATAACTTAAAAAATCTGAGAACCTAAGATCACTTAAGGGAAGTTGTCCGGTACATGGTGCCAAATTCGTGTACGTGCACGAAAACTTTCACTTTCGCGCACTCCCAAACACATTTTTCTTTCGGTTTATGACATTCTGTAGCCACAAGATTTGTATACACTGTGAAAACCGTTTGTGCGCAACATCCGGTTCGGGAGTTACGGCTGTTAGAAAATTCAAAAGTTTAAATGCATTCAGGTGTGCCAAAGTCTCGTTATGGACCGATCTTCCTCAAATTTTGCACGTAAATGCACATAACCACGAAGAACGTTTTACACCGATCCACTGTTCTCGCATGTTTTCAAATTTTGAAATGAATTTCAAAAAATTTTAAAATTCATTTTAAAATTTGAAAAAAATCATGGAAGTATGGATCGGTGTAAAACGATCTTCATGGACTTGCGCATTTACCTGCAAAATTGATGGAGATCAGTCCATAACGAGACTTGCACCTGAATGCATTTAACCAATTTTCTGACAACCATAACTCCCGAACCGGCAAACGGTTTTCACGCCAGTGTATAAATCTTCTGACTACAGAATGTCATAAACCGAAAAAAATGTGTTTGGAGTGCGAAAGTTTTCGTGCATGTTTACTCCTTAAGAATAAACTAAGAACCTAAGAAATTTAAAATATTAAGAAACTTTTGTGCTACATAAATATTTAGCGCTCATTCCTTTGGTAGGCGGGTATAGAGCGTTGGCTAATGGCTGGCCACAGAGTAGAAAACGATTATTTAACAGTAATGTGATAACCGTTTCTTTCACATATATCTTTAGTGTATAGGGTAATGGCGTTTTATGAAACAAAAAACTACATAGAAATCGATTCCGTTTTATCATTCACTTTTCTGGGTGGCAGGCAAATTTTTAATTATTTCTGCACTTTGAGAAATTGCCATGTTTTACCGCTTGCCAGTCGCGAAATGCCACATGCCACTGCCGGTGGCAACTGCCACTGGCAGGTGCCACTGCCACCTCTTACACCCTGCCCAGCCGGCACTCTCTCAACACGAACGCGTTCGGCTGCAGCGCTCGTTTGGCCAAGAGTTTCTTGGAAAGCGGAAAACGCACTTGGTAGAGGGAAAACAGTTCAGCTTGTTGCAGTTCGCCATCCTGCTGCAACTGAACGATGATAAGACCGATTTTGTCCGGATGAAAGAACATGGCCGGACTGAGCAGTCGGCCGGGATACCACAGCCATGCAGCATCCGGATGCGAGCGATACAGCACTTCCACGCTATGATTCGCCGCCGATTCCTCACTCTCCTCCAGTTCTGCATACTTCTTCTTGAAATTCGTGGAAGATGGGGCGACGGCAGAGTGGAAGATTTTGTCGCAGCTGACAAACTGCGCTCGCTGTCCGCTGCAGTCGAAATCCACGATCAGTCCGTCCTCCGCCACGTCGACCACTTCGCCGTGCTGGAAGAGCCCGTTTTCCGTCAACACGTCGACCGAATTCCACTGGTACACGCGGCGAAGGTTCTTATCGTTTTCTGAGTCTTCTCCATACACAAGCATTTTCAGGCTTTCAGATAATATAAACTGATAATAATAAACACGTCAAAATTTCACTGACTTTCTTGGCAGATCGTGATGGACTGAGTTCAGAGAGGCGAATTTAGAATGAAAGCGATTTGAACTAATCATGTATTTGCAGAAATCTTAAGGACGGCCTTCAAACTTTTCCACTATGGTGACTGACAGTAAACAGTAAACACATAATGGATGGATGCAAATATTTGCCAAATAATAATGGATGCAAATACTTACTTGCATTACTAAGTTACTTTAATAATGGATGCAACTACTTGCCAGCTTGGCTCAGCTTGCTCGCAGTCAAAAAGTATGTGCAACTTTCGGATCGTGTATCTGCGTATGCTGCGTCCATCAACTGCCTTCGAAGAGCGGTGGGTAACTGTGCTGGCCAACCACCGTATTTTCATATATAAAGCCGACTACCTAATGGTAAGTGTACTCGTACCTAGTGTAGTGTTCTTGTGTACAGATAAGTACCTAACGTAAGAAACAAGAAGCAAATGACATCTTTTGGAATTGTAATATCATAATTATTATTATTGTAACCAACCACATATTGTAGCATATCTATATAGCATATTGTAACACAGCACTACATAATCAACTATAGTTGGTTATGTAGTGCTGTGTTACAATATGCTATATAGATATGCTACAAATACAATATACTGTACATACATATTGTAGCACATAGCATGTTGTAACCAACTACGTACTTAACTTTATGCTTTATGGGATTAACCAGCTGTTCGGGGTTGAACCGAATGGCTAAAATCAGACGAAAACGGATGTGGAAAAACCAGGGGTAAAAATGAAGTGATTTTTTTGGCATACAGTTTCGTAGCGGATTAGCAAACTCCCAGTCTCCTAGTTTGCGGTATAGTGCCGGCTCAGATCTTTGGACAGACTGTGTGCATACTTCTCGCAATGACACCGAAGATAAGCGTTTGGTGGAGCCTTACCTAGTTCCACTATTTGACTATTTCCCCCACGGTTTTCTGTATCACCTCACAAAGTTGTGAGATTTTCTAAAGGTAACATGTTTAACCGTGTTCCCATTAAGTTACCGTACTGTTTTCACGCAGTTTATATGCATATGTTGCACTGCATCGTCCTTCACGGCAACAATCATGAACGGCCACGGCCAGCGTCCCACGTTCTATCTTTATTCAAACAAGCACCGGCATGGATGTCACGATGTGTAAAGGTCTGCACTCCAAAGCAGTCTCCCCATTTCAAACTGCTTTACCCAATTAAATATACAGTACTTTTAGCAGCACATGTGCATTACCTGCGCTTTCTGTAGTTTAGACTAATCGTAAGTTACGTACTCATCAGTAATCGGCAGTGCGGCACAAAAGCAAACCCGTGGAGGCATAACTCTGCACCAATGCTTCCTAATTAACAAACAAATTATGATGCCTGATTACGTTAAGTACTTGCATTGTTAGGGCTTTATGCACGGAATTCGGACTTTATAATAATACTCTTACTAGTTTGACTTTTTTGCATTACCAGTACATGCACTTGTGTACGGGTACAGTAACTTATCACGGGCAGTAACAGTAAAAGGTACACAAAACTGAGTAAAAAATGGCCTGAATGTGCACTGTAGCAAAGATCCTCGAGATTGTTCCTCTAAACGGTATATCTACAGGTATATTTTCTCTTTTACGCTAACGCGCCGTGTTGGCACGTGTTGAATTAGAGTACCGACAAAACAAACACTGACAAAACAAAACCGAGCATGGACAAGCAACAAGCAAGCTCTGATTCCCGCTTTTAGCAGCAGATGTCAGACGTCACATTTTTTCGTGTTTGCATTGGTAGTTATTCGTGCGCGACTGGAAAATGTGATAACATTTTTGACTTTTCTATTTTTACTTTCTTTCTACTCATGTATTGCATTAACAAGGTTATATTGTGCATTTTTATGTTTTAGTCGGTAAGTAGCGTTCAGTATAATCGGCATTCTAAAACCATGGAAAATCTGTAGTCAACTGTAAAACTGCGCAAGCCTTTCTGATATTGCTGTATGGGAACGGGCTTCAACGGGTTTCAAATGTTGACCTGGTGCCTCAGAAGATAATGCAAGCAAAGCGACGCCGACGTGACTACTATCCTCCTTGCGCAGAATACAGAATCTGATGACAGATGGCAATACCTTACCACCCTATGACGGCGACCGAATGGGAATTGAGAAACTCCTTGACTCATACGTAGTAATACGTAGTAATGCAAGACTGTACCGGAACGTGTTTGAGCGTGTCAGGACATGATTGCCAAAACGTGATTTCGGGTTTTTCCTTTTGTACGGTGGAACTCTCGAACTCTTGAATTTTCTGATTCCCTTCGCCTTCGCCAACCACGGCCTTTGTTTTCGTTAAATTAATAACTGTACAGGAGCAGTAGCGGCTTGCTGCTAAGTAATTCTCTTGTTTACAATGCTTCTTTACGGAGAAAAATTCTTAGCCACTGATCCTGTGTACCAGTGGAACTCTGTGGATGTGCTGACGGAGAGCGGACTCTTCCAGCACGGCGAAGTGATCGACGCGGCAGAGAACGGGCTGATCGTGGATTTCCACTGCAACGGACAGCGAGCGCAGTTAGTCGACTTCGACAAAATCTTCCACGCCGTAGCTGCTCCGCATTCCCGACCGTACGTTGACTGGTACGACGAACGGCGAAGGAGTCCCGCCGTGAAGGAGAACATTAGCGTGCAAGTGTTGTGTCGCGAGCGTCCGGACGCTGCCTGGCTGTGGTACCCGGGTCGGCTTCTTCGTAAAGCGATCTACTCTGCCCTCAACGACAGCGGCCTTTTCGTCGTTCAAGTAGAGCAGGATGGCTGGCAGCAGGCGGAACTGTTTCCCGGCGACCAGATTCGTTTGCCGCCGTCCAAGAAGCATCTGGACAAACAAACGCGGAGGTCGAACTATTTCGTGCGCAGAGAGTGTCGTTTGCCGAAGCATTATTGGTCGACCGTCACGCCCACAATCGCTGATCGCTTCCGAAACGAAATCGAGGGGGAGTACTATGTGCGTATTGTGTCTGTTTACAGTCAGATGTTCAAGTACCTGCAGCGGCGTCCTGATCATCCACTGAAGGAAAACGACTTGGTGCGTGCATATAATTTCTTTGACGTTTAATTTAATTTTCGAAGTGGCTATTTTGCCGCAGTGTTTGCGGCTAAATAGCCAGTTGGCTATTTTGCCGCACAAAGGTGGGCGAAATAGCTTGTTGGCTATTTTACCGCACACTGCGTTAAAATAGCTGCTCAGCTATTTTGCCGCACCATGGTCGGCAAAATAGTCAGTTGGCTATTTTGCCACACCATTACTGCAGCCTGTCTCGCCGCGCACTTTTAATTAGCTCTGTACGGTAAATTGCCAGAAGTTCTGTAAAACAGCGTTACTTACTTCAAACAGAACCTTACAGAGCGTTACAGAGCAACGAGACACTCCAACTCAAAATCGAGGCTATGTATGAGTGGCTTCGCCTTCCGCCTTCTCCTCCGCCTGTGCCTTTTGAGCGGTACGCATTCGCCTTCGCGGCTTCGCCCTCCAAAAGATGCACTTTTCATTGGTCCTCTTATGTAATTCTTAAGTTACTTGAGCTGTATTCCATTTTCCGAGGGAATATTGTTGTTTTTCTTATGTTTATGTTTTCCTAGCCGTTAATCGAATTAAAACTTATTTTCAAAGCAACCATGCGTCGACGGTTTTAGTCCGGCTTTCAGTACGTACTGTTATCGGCAGCACAACATAGAGGCTAACGATGGGCAAGTACATTGTTAACAATATCACAGCAAAGCTGCCAAGAGAAACAACATCGGGCACTAATTATTCCCGACCAGCCAATCTAAATGCTAAAAAAACATCCTCGTTGTCTCTCATGTCATTAAAAGTACCGAGGACAGACACTGCACTTACTCGTTGTATCTCAGTACTGAATCTCTGGCGCAAAAACTCCCCCGACCGTGGGTTACCGCTACATTCATAAATCTTCCTCGATAACTCAGCTTGAAAATTTCTTTGTTAGCGGCTAACGATTGTAAACAGCTATATTGAGAAATCAATAAACTGGAGCAACCAAGCAGCACGAAAATGCCAATCTGGAGCGTTCTGCACCGAACCTGGTGGCTGTAGCGCTGTATTTTATGGTTTCACCAGAGCAAAACCCGTAGGCTCACCTGTAGCCTGCTGGCTACATACAATCTGACCAAAACAAACAAAACTACAATAAAGCATCCGCTTTCCGAAGTTCAGCTATTCGTCACTCTGTGAGTCAAATACCGCAAAAGAATTATCCATCAATCATTATGGGCAACCGTAAGCGTAATGACTTTACTTTAGAGAAAATG